AGGTGATGAAAGTGTTCTGTGAGAACTGTGCTGCTGGGTGTATGACATTCACACTCATCAGAAAGCACTGACCTATACACCACAGAAGGTAAATTTTACTGTATGTAACTTTTTCAAGATCAACCAGAATATGGAGAGGAAGGACAGAATACAGACTGGGACAAATTAATCTAATTACAAATTAATTGCAATTACATAATTACTTAGAAGCTGACCCTATGGAACTTTGGCAAGCAGTATTTTGACTGAATACTATAAGGCTTAAGACAAAAAAAAAAAACAATGGACAAACACTGTAGTTAGTAGGTAAATGTTTCTCTCAGGGTAGATTAGAAATTCTATTAACTACTTTATTTGTATACTGGACTTGAACAAATAAGTAAATATACTGTATAGATGAGAACCAGGTTTCTCACTATCAGAGAAGAGTTACAAATCAAGGGAAGGGAGAAAGCTAAAATGGAATGAGTTGGCAATATCAGTTTGGCTTATTCAAATATATATGTATATATATATTCTTATATATGTATAAAAACAGAAATAGATTACGTGTATGCAAGAATTAGTATACAGACTTGTATTTCCCATATCTATCCATTGAGGACTTAAGCAGTGACACCTGAGCAGCAATTAGCATGCCTAACACCTAAATATTAGTTTCTAAATACCATTTTTCAATTTAAAAAAGTGATTGATTGCAGAGCTATAATCAGAGAAATAAGCCAGGGAAAACCCAAGATGAACCTGAGCCTTGAAGCATCTCGTGGTGCCAGAAAGTAAGGAAGTGCTTTAAAAAAAGAGGACAAAGCATCTTGAAAGGGTTATGAGTCCAAATATATCTACAGATATATAATGAGCGAGTGTGGCAAAGAGACACACACACATGTGCACTGAGAACTCTTCCTTACACAAGAATTCCAATTAATAAAAGTAGAGGAATGAGGCAAATAGAAAAATCACCATTATAACACCACAGTAATAATGGCTACATGCAAGATACATTGGTAGATGCTAAAACCAATGAGTAAAAATTTAATCAAAAACAGGGTATTTGTATAGTTTCAAAATATCTTCCCTAAAATTTTTAGTAATTGTAAAGGGAAAAATAATAATCTCACAGTGAAGAAATCTGGCAGACCCTTCCTAAGCCAAGAGATCAAGGTTCATATCACCAGTGACACATTGTGATATCATGTACTAAGCAGTCAGGCTAAGTTTTGAACCTAGGTCTACCTTATTCCAAAACCTTTCTCCTCTATCATTCTTCCATATATATTAGCAGGGGAGTTGGGAACTGTGAAGCATACTATAAAAGTACTCTGAATGGGCAAAATGCAGTAAGATTCTTAAAAATATGGTCATTTCCAGTGATATGTTCTAATATCCTGTAGACATGGTACCTGAGAAGGGCATACATTTCTGTGTACCCTTCCCAATAAAGCAATCTCAATCTAATCATAAGAAACATGAGACAAATCTACATTGAGAGACATTCTAAAAATGCCAAACAGGTACTCTTCAAAAGTGTCAAGGTCATGAGACAGGGAAAAGCTGACATAATTTATTGAGGTCAGATTAGAAAGCTGGGTATTTGGTCGTCTTATGTACACCAATGTTTTAATCTTCAAAATGCCTGCCCAGAATTCTTTTAATATGCCCTCACTTTGATCTGTATAATGTTACCTTATGCAAGAATCTACAAGATAAAAATTTAACCTTAAGAAAACTCCGCCCAAACTTGCAAAATGAAAAGATTGGAGCCAGGTGCCTACAACAGTAGCTGTAGTTTGGTGCCAAGTGAAGCTGCTCTCAAGGAAGAAGCATCACTAGACTTCCTGGCATTTTATCATGGAATTCGTCCTGAAACCGAGACAACCTCTCGAGGCCACTCTCCTCTTCTTACACAAGCCTCAGGGACTCTGCCTTCCCTCACAGCTTAGCAGCTACTGCCACCCACCCAATCCTTGGATGTTAGGGTCCCTCAATACTAACAGCTAAGGTAGACACAGTCCTCAGTTTCCCAATTTTTGAAGTTTCAAAGCCAAACACAAAGACCCTCTAAATGTTAAAAGGTGTTGTAATGATTACTTCGGGGAAATAAGAAGAAATATGGAGAACTAAAAAAGTTTAAGAAATCTTTTTTGAATCTTATGACATTTTAACACATTCCTAGTACTTTATAGTATACTCTACAGTTCCTAAGTCCCCTAATACATATGGAAGAATGACAGAGAAAAATGCCTTTACAGTAAGGCAGACCTGGGTTCAAAACTCTGCCTGACTGCTTCATAGGTGAGTGACTGGGCAAAGAGCACTCCTTCGTTTCAGTTTCCTGAAATAGATACACTGAAAACACACTTAACTCTTAGCCCATAGGATTATTCTGAGAAGCCAATGATAGAGAGGCTATAAAACACCTAAGGAATAGTCAAAGAATAGGTACCTAATATTAATTCATCTGATAAACTGATTGTGGATAAAATGAGAGTTCCTGTGGCCAGGATTCTCCCCTGGCCCTGGCTGACAAGCTCACTGCACACCTGTGGGCAATACATGGCTGTGACTCTATAAAAAGAGCTACACCCAGTGCTCTGCGCACAACACGGTGGCAGGGCTGCAAGGCTGCAGGAGAGCAGAGCAGAGGCTGGAGTGGGGGCAGCACCGAGGACAGAGGCCCAGAGGACGGCTGTATGGGACAACTGAGCAGAAAGGCCTGGAGGACGGCTGTGCAGGATGGCTGTGCGGACAGAGGGGCCCAGAGGACTGCTGCGTAGACACAGGGACCCAGAGGCAGAGATCGGCTTGCTGCCTGCAGACTCGCTCTGAGTGAACGGGATTCTAGTGACTGACCTGCCACCTGGAAATAAAGTTGGGTATAAGCCTTTCACCCCAAGAACATTTTGCTGTCAATTTCTTTGGTCACACTGAATCCATAGCGAACTTGCCCGGGGCTGAAACCCACTGGCAAGACACCTTTGGGATACGGCTCCTTTAATAAAATACTGAGAACTAGGTAACTCCATGAGTTTCCTTCCACGTCACATGCCAACAAGATAATAGTAGGAGTACCACATCTGACTCCCACCTGCCCCATTCGTCCTCTGCCTAGGCTACTGACAGACAGCACCATCATCTCTCTCTGAACTTCTATAGCAATGTACTTCTTTTCAGAAATAGGATACAAATGGTTCTGTATCTTCCTATAAAAATAAGTATTATCGCCAATTTCACTAAATTTTGAGGAAAAAAACATAAGATTACACCAGTAAAAAGACTATGTAATTACAGCACAATATTAACTGCAAGAAGAGAGTGGAATGCTACAGTTTCTTAAAAACTCAGACCACCTGTACTTCATAAAGCATCATCAGCAAAGTAATACATGTTTATATATGTAGGCAGATTGATTCCTTCCTCCCTTCCACTGTTAAAATTAATTTTGAAAAGGCTGAATATTTTGCAGAATAAGCTAGAAATGATCCCTTTCTTCACCTCTAGGCTTTAAACAGATACCATGATCAAATAAGAACTAAAATAATTAAGAATCATACCTTGTTAACCTGCAATGTATATAGATGGCATGTCTGAACACAATTATATTTAAAAAATAAATTTATAAATATTATTCTGAAAATTATAACTTTAAACTGAAAATATTTTAAAAACTAAATTAGGTTCCTCTTAAAGGAAATAATTATTTCATAAGTTCTAAAATACTGATATGGTAACAGACAGAGTTGTTTTTAACAATATTTTGCAATTCTAAACTCAAACTGAAAATGATTACTTGGAATCTTCTAAAAGGTACATTATATCACATGGGTTTTAAAACATTCTTGAGGGTCATTTCAATGACCAACCCCAGATCCTGAACACATTATTACAACACCACACAAGATTTCACACGTATCTATTACTGGTAGTAAGATTCCAGCTCCTTAATAACCCATCATGCAAGTGCATATACTCAAAATATATAAAGAGCTCACACCTCAATATCCAAAAAGCAAATAACCCAATTAAAAAATGGGCAGAGGATGTGAACAGACACTCCTCCAAAGAAGAAATTCAAGTGGCTAACAGGCATGAAAAGATGCTCCACATCACTAATTATCAGGGAAATGCAAATTAAGACCACAGTGAGATATCACCTCACACCAGTTAGGATGGCCAGCATCCAGAAGGAACAACAAATGCTGGCAAGGATGTGGAGAAAGGGCAACTATAGAATATACCATAAAGTATTGGTGGGAATGTAAATTAGTTCAACCACTGTGGAAAGCAATAAGGAGATTACTCAAAAAATTAAAATAGAAATACCATTTGACCCAGAAATTTCACTCCTAGGAATTTACCCGAAGAAAACAAGATCCCAGATTCAAAAAGACATATGAATGCCTATGTTTATCGCAGCACTATTTACAACAGCAAGATATGGAAGCAGCCTAAGTGTCCATCAGTAGATGAATGGATAAAGAAGACTGGTACATATACACAGTGGAATATTATTCAGCCATAAGAAGAAAATAAATCCTACCATTTACAACAACATGGATGGAGCTAAGAGGGTATTATCCTCTGAAATAAACCAGGCAAAGAAAGACAAATACCAAATGATTTCACTCGTTCGTGGGGTATAAGAACAAAGCCAAACTGAAGGAACAAAAACAGCAGCAGACTCACAGCCTCCAAGGGACTGGCGGTTATGAAAGGGAAAAGGCTGGGGAGAGCGGTGGGGAGGGAGGGTGAAGGGGATTAAGGAGCACTGTAATCAGCACACACAACATAGGTAGGTCACGGGGAAGGCAGGACAGCACAAAGACAAGTAATGACTCTCCAGCAACTTACTACACTGATGGACAGTGACTGCAATGGAGTGGGGGGGGGCTTGATAATATGGGTGAATGTTGAAACCACAATGTTGTACATGTGAAACCTTCATAAGATTGTATATCAATGATACCTTAGTTAGGAAAAAAAAAGGAAGAAAATGCACATACCATATCACGGTGCTCCAAGTTAACATCACACTTGAGTAGTTCTTCTACAATGTGCACATGCCCTTCTTTTGAGGCCGATATAAGTGCTGTCCAGTTATCCTTGAACAGACACAAATGTTACCTTCTCAAAACCAAATACAACATTCCAAAGTGAGGGAAAATAAATCTGAATTTATATAACAAGTGATCAGACCAAACTGACATGATGACTCACTCTAAACTACTCTAAAATAACACTGAAGCATAAGCTCTGTTAAGAATTTTTCTGTCTATCTGTATTACTACAATGGTGTAGAAATGGTTTCACGACTAATTCAGACTTTTTACTGGAATTCTCATCATATACTGTGTTTTTTAAAAGGAGAAAAGAAGTCTACTGACACCTTAAAACTAATCTTTGTGGCTAGCAAACATTACTATAAATTGAAATTAAGGAGCCTGTAATCAGACTTAAGAGCACAGTCACAAGCTATTAAACTAAGCGATGCCACATGCTAAGTATAGAAATCATGTGATAAAGAACAATCCTCCTTTATTTTTTAAATAAAGCTACAAGTATCCAAGAATATGTGCTCCCTACTCAGCCACTGCCATCAATACATAAGAAACTGAAGAGCTGGGACCTTTCATTGACAGTAAAAATTTCTCTCCTATATTACCACTTTAAAAAAACTGACAGAATATTATTAGGCAAAGTTGAGATATACCTGAAAGTAATCTACTACTTTTGATTCACTTCTAAAAATCAAAGAAATAGCAAAGTTAAGGAAAAGGAATAAAAGACAAATGAGTGAATTATTTCAGTATATACCAAATCTTCCAGATTGCAATTAGCTCCATTCTTAATTAGCTCTTTCACTATTTCCAGATTGCCTTGTTCAGCAGCTATCATCAACGGAGTCTGGCCACACTAAAAAATGTAAAACACAGGGAACATGTCAACATGCTGTATTTCAACTGAAATACCAGTTAAATATAGCTCACTTACATTCTCATGATGGTATGCTCAGCACTGTTTATAGTATTTCTTTAATTTAGAAGCACCTTTGAAATCTTAAGTTTTCAGTTCACTAATACCATAAAAGTAAAAGAGAAAATGAAAGTTAAAATAAGAGAGTTGTTTTTTTAACCACAGCACTAGCAAAGTGTTTTCAGCTCTGATTTCACTCAAAATAAGTAAACACGAGTAATACTGGGCTCTGAAAAGTAATTGCCACCATGGATATAAAAATCTGAAGTTATCTATAGTAACCAAAGATGGTATCTTTGTTAAGCCCTCCCTTATAACCTTAATTCATTAAACTAAGGCCTCTTCTGGCTATATCAGAGTTGCCCAGACTGTGTACCTAGAACAAGTCACAGCAATAAGAGACAGTACTGGCCCAGCCCTGAGACAGCAGAACAGGTCCCAGGCACCTAGATCCAGGATGGGTCCCTTCCAGCACCAAGACTCATCAATTTCAGGTGGAGTATACACATTATCATGTTCAGCAGATGCCATGATATCGAACAGTTTAGAAGCACAAGGCTAACAGTGATAGTACTAAAGGTGTGAAAACATTTCTCTTCCCAGGATGCTGTAATGCAAAACATCTCCTATTCAGCAACTTTTTGCTCTTCCCAATTCCTAGGTAATCCCACTTCTACTTATTTAGGTGTATCAGCCTTAAATAACCACTGCCTTTAAAAGCAGTCATCTTCAGAGGACATACACTTCTCCCAAGAATTGTAGAAGACACATTTTTAAATTCTCCTTTATTCCTTCAGTCTTTCTAAGCACTTAACAGACTTGCATTTAGAGTGTGGATAAAATGAAGGTTCCTGTGGCCAGGAGTCTCACCTGGCCCTGGTTGGCTAGCTCACTACACATGTGGGCAGTGAGTTGTTACTGACTCTTTATAACGAGTCCTGCCCAGTACCCTGTGCAACATGGTGGCAAGGCTGCAAGAGAGCAGAGCAGAGTCTGAAGTGGTGGCAGCGCCAAGGACAGAGACCCAGAGACAGCTGTGCAGGCCGAGAGGCCCAGGGGCAGATATCCGCTGGCTGCATGCAGACTTGCTCTGAGTAAATGGGATTTTAGTGATTGACCCACCACCATGGAAATAAAGTTGAGTATAACTCTTTCACCCCAAGAACGTTTTACTGTCATTTCTTTGGTCACATTGAATCCATAGTGAACTTGCCCGGGGCTGGAACCCATTGGCAAGACACAGAGTCACATTTCATTTTCTTAGATGGGAAAATAAAGTCCAACCTCAACGCTATACCCTTGTACCAAGGAAAGCTGAGAGTGAAGTTTTGTTTTTTTTTTAAATAATATCCCTTCACTACTCTACAAAGGGCAAAGATTTACCATCACTAAGAATATTCACAGACCAAGAGATTTATCTAGTTACAAATAAAGTAGAAAGGAAAGGCAATCAGCACTTACTGACTGCAGCTGATAATATGCTAATAAGCACACTATCAGGCAATTGCACCTACATTATTTTATTGATGTAATATTTAAGAGACTTTTTCAAAACTGGTAATATACAGCAACATGAAGTAATTATATGCTCTACTTTTAAGAGCAAGGAAGAAGGGATGAAAATCTAAACACTTTTACAGAATTCTATAAAAATTAAGTTTTATCAGAAGCTGTAGAGAAGCCAAATGCTAAGTGAAGCCTTGACAGAAAGCTACTTTTTCCCCGACCTTCACACTAGAACCATAACTGAACAATCCTAGGTTGTTTCAAATTGTGACTTTAAAATTCCAATTTAAATTGATACAATAGTAGATATAAATATCATTAATATCAATTAAATGCTACTTCATGCCTAATGTTAGCTTTTTACCAAATATGCCTTATTCAATAGGATTAATGTAATTTTATGCTTACTCATGTACTGTATTTCTCCTCCCAAGTGAAGCTATTTTAAACTCAGTACTCCCATAGAAAGCGTCTACAAGGAATCTTGACCTTTTTAAACTGCCATCATTATTCCAAGTATGCTAATATATAGTAAATGACCACTTCTGTAAGTAACTCATAACAATCTCTAATTATAAACTTTATCTCATTATAATAATTTATAATAATTATTGACTATTCATAATCATTGAAGGGTGTTAATGCTATTAACTAACCAAAGTACAGACATACCTTGTTTTATTGTACTTCACTTATTATACTTCCGAGATAACTATGTTTTTACAAATTGAAGTTTGTGGCAACCCTGTGTCAAGCAAATCTATCAGAGCCATGTTTTCAACAGCATTTGCTCACTGTGTCACATTTTGGTAATTCTTGCAATATTTCAAACTTTATTATTATTATTATATTCATTATGGTGATCTGTGATCAGTGATCTTTGGTGTTACTATTGTAATTGTTCTGGTGGCCACAAACCGTGACCATGTAAGACAGAGAACTTAATGTGTTCTGACTGCTCCGTATCTGGCTGTTTCCTCTTCTCTCCCTCCTCTGGCCTTCCTATTTCCTAAGACACAATATTGGAATTAGGCCGATTAACAACCCTACAATGGCTTCTGAGCTCAAGTGAGAAAGTCACATGTCTGTCACTTCACATCAAAAGCTAGAAATGATTACACTTGATGAGGAAGGTATGTCAAAAGCTGAGACAAGCCAAAAGCTAGGCCTTTTGCTCAAACAGCAAGTTATGAATGCAAAGGAAAAGTTCTTAAAGGAAATTAAAGGTGCTACTCCAGTGAACACATGAATGATAAGAAAGCAAAACAGCCTTCTTGCTGATATGGAGAAAGTTTGAGTGGTCTGGATAGATCAAACCAGCCACAGTGTTCCTTTAAGCTGAGGCCTAATCCAGAGCAAGGCCCTAACGGTTCAATACTATGAAGGCTGAGAAAGGTGAGGTACCTGCAGAGGAAAAGTCTGAAACTAGTAGAGGCTGGTTCATGAGGTTTAAGGAAAGAATCTATCTCCATAACAGAAAAGTGCAAGGTGAATCCACAGATGCTGGTAGAGAAGCTGCAAAAAGGCATACAGAAGATCTAACTAAGAAAATTCAGGAAGGTGGCTACATTAAACAAGAGATTTTTTAGGGGAGATGAAAGAGCCTTATATTGCAAGAAGACGCTATCCAGGACTTTCATAGCTAGAGAGAAAAAGTTAATATCTGGCTTCAAAGCTTCAAAGGACAGGCAGACTTTGTTAGGATATAATGCAACTGGAGACTTTAAGTTGAGTCTATGTTCATTGACCATTCTGAAAATCCTAGGGCCCTTACGAATTATGTTAGATCAAATGAAACTGAAGGAACAAAAATAGCAGCAGGCTCACAGACTCCGAGAAGGGACTAGTAGTTACCAAAAGGAAGGGGTTGGGGAGGGTGGATGGGGAGAGAAATGGCAGGCGAGGGGTGGGACTTGATAATAAGGGTAAATGTTGAAACCACGATGTTGTTCATGTGAAACCTTCATAAGATTGTGTATAAATGATACTTTAATAAAAAAAAGAAGAATTATGTTAAATCTACTCTGCCTGTGCTCTATAAGTGGAACAGCAAAGCCTGGATGACAGACAACACTTCTATTTGCCCTATGGTTTACTAAACATTTAAAAGCCCAGTGTTGAGACCTACTGCTCCAAAAAAAGATTCCTTTCACATTACTGCTCACTGACAATGAATCTGATCGTCTAAGAGCTCTGATGGACATGTACAAAAATATTAGTGTTGTTTTCATGCCTGCTAACACATCATCCATTCTGCAGCCCATGGACTAAAGAGTAATTTCTATTTCAAGTCTTATTATTTAAGAACTGTATTTCATAAGGCTATAGCTGCTATAGATGGTGATTTCTCTGATGGATCTAGGCAAAGTAAGTTGAAAATCCTCAGGAAAGGACTCACCTGAAATGTCATTCAGAACATTTTTGATTCATGGGACAAGGTCAAAATATCAACATTAATATGAACTTGGAAGAAGTTTCCAGCCCTCCTGGATGAGTTTGAGGGGTTCAAAACTTCAGTGGTGGAAGTAACTGCAGATGTCGGGGAAATAGCAGAACTAGAATTAGAGGAGGAGCCTAAAAGTACGGCTGAGTCGCTGCCGTCTCATGCTAAAATTTTAAGGGGTGAGGAATTGCTTCTTATGGATAAGCAAGGAAAGTGGTTTCCTGAAATGTAATCTACGGAATTAAAGATTATGTGAAGACTGTTGAAATGACAAAGGATTTAGAATATTACATGAACTTAGTTGATAAAGCAAGGGTAGGGTTTGAGGACTGACTATGATTTTGAAAGAAGCTCTATGGTGGGTAAAATGCTATCAAACAGCATCACATGCTACAGAAAAATCACTTATGAAAGGGAAGAGTCATCCATGTGGCACACTTCATTGCTGTCTTATTTTAAGAACTTACTACAACCTCCCCAGCCTTCAGCAACCACCACCCTGATCAGTCAGCAGCCACTGAGACAAGACCTCCACCAGCAAAAAGATTATGATTTGCTAAAAGTTCAGATGGTGCCTAGCATTTTCAGCAGTAAAGTATTTTTTAATTAAGGTATGTCTATTAGTTTTTTTAGACATAATGCTATTGCACACTTAATACACTATAGTATAGGTAAACTTAACTTTAATATGTACTGGGAAACTGAAAATTCACTTGACTTGCTTTACTGAGACACTCGCTTTATTGTGGTAGTCGAAATAAACCCACAGTATCTCCAAGGTATGCCTATATATTTGTTCAATATACAAACACTGAAAACACAGACATTATTATTAGATGAACTTATTCTGAAGATTCAAAGAACGGCAGTAGGACATAAACAGATTATAGTTTGAAGTCAAATAGAACAAAGTTCAAATTTGGGTTCTACCAGATAGTATCTTGGATAGGAAACTGCAGGATTAAGTCATTTACCTGTAAATAAAGATAAACAACAGCATATTCTTTACAGGGTTGCTATGCAAATTAAATGAACTAAGATATACAATGTATAATTATCATAACAGTTGCATAAACATTCAATAAAAGCATTAGCTATCAAAATATCATTGCAATAATAAAGCTTCTGTTAAGATTTCCTAATGACAGTTAACATTTAATGAAATTAGGTAACCACATCAAAAATAATAATTATTATCATAATATAGCAACTGCTGATTCAGCAGCTTTAAAGACAGCACGCCCATGTTCATAGCAGCACTATTTTCTTCAACAGCCAAGAGGAGGAAACAACCTAAATGTACATCAGTAGAACAAAATGTGATTATCTACATACAATGGAGTATCATTCAACTTTAAAAAAGAAAAATTTTATTACACGCTACAACATGGAGTAGTCCTGAGGATATTATGAGAAATGAAATAAGCCAGTCATAAAGCAATTCCACTTATATGAGGTACCCAGAGTAGTCAAAGTCACAGATACAGAAAGTAGTAAGAGTGGTTACCAGGGACTGGGCACAGAGGGAGAAGGTGAGCTGATGTTTAGCGGGTATAGAAGAGTTTCAGATGTGAAAAAGTTCTGGAGATAGTTCACAACAATGTGGCTCACTGAACACTACTGAAGTGTACTCTTAAAAATGGTTAAGATGGTAAATTTTGTTATGTTTTTCCCACAATAAAAAAATTTATAAATAAAACTTTACATGTCTACACAGTGACACATGTATGCATATACACATACATACATACGTATAAAACTTAAATCACTACTCATTCATCTTATCCACTGGCAAAAAATTATACTATATTGAAAATATAGTTCTAAGAAACAGGATTCTTTTTCTTAAGTTTTATAAAACAAATACACACTTTGTCACTTAAAAAATTTCTACAGAAATTTTATTAGTCCTGAAAGTGTTGCAGCTTGGCCGTTCAAAATGAAATAAGATCAACATTCTTTCTTGTATCATTGAATAGAAATATCTAAATTAATGAAAATAGTAAATATATACTTTCCCGTCTTATTAAACAGAATGCATGACCTATTTAAGTGTCTCTTAAAGACATACGGTCTTTAAAACCCCAAGGTGTACGGAATGAACCACTCAGGAAAATAGCTGGGACTCCATTAAAGAAAATATTTCAAAAAGTCCTGGTTTTGTCTGATTAATCCATTTGTAAGAAGATTGAGTCTAGAAGCCCTCTAAAACTTCCTAGAAACACTGTCATTTAATAATAAAATTTCCTGAATATTAATTATTCCACCTGGATTAAAAAAGTCAATCAAAAATGTAAATTCAATATTCAGTTACTTATATAAGTTCAAATGTATTCCAAGTATATGGAATTTGAAGTACTTTTAACTATAAGAAATTACAATGTTGTTTCTCGTAACAGTATTACTGAGGGTGAGAACTACATTATTTATCACTCACCTTTATCCTTAACACAGTGCTTTGTACACAGTAGGTAGCCAACAAATGTCTGAGAAAAGAATTTAATTTTAGAAACTTGGTCTTACCTCATTTCTCTCATCTACATCTTTGCATTTTTCAAGAAGAGCTTTCAGAGCAGGAATGTTTTCTTCCTCTACGTAATTTATTACACTTTGTGATATCAGAACCGACATTTTCACAGAAAGCTGTAGTTATATTTATTCCAATGAGCCTGTTAAAAGCAATTAGATAAAATACACATAATTTGTGATGAGAAAAAACTAACTACATTATGCTTAAGCCTGTACAAAAACACCTCTGCTGGCGGGAGCTCAGCTGTCAAAATGCCCAAGGCTCTCTTCCCAAGACTCACACTCATCTCAATCTGGACTCATCCAAACCCCAAACCCCAGATCAACCTTTCCCAACCCTCCTCATCACCACCCCTAAAAAATAAAGCACCTACCGCTCCTCCTGCTGTCTTCTCCAGCTCAGTAATCGCAGCTCCAGCTGCACTCTTCCAAGGCCAAACCTTTGGGATTCTCCATGCCTTAGCTGTCCGCTTATACTCTATGGTCAACCTATTAGCGGCTCCTTTTGGCTCTACCTATAAACAGAGTTCACATCTGACCACTACAACCACCCTGGTACAAGCCGCCGTGACCTCTCACCGAGGTCCTAAGTGCTCTCCCTACTTCCACTTGCCCGCCCTAGTCTACCCTCCACAAGCCAACAGCGCTCTTCCAAAAATGACCTACCTGACCCTCAGCACCCTCATCTCCAACCACCCCTCACGCACGTCACTGCTTGCACATGTCTAGCTCTGTGCCACCTCAGGGCCTGTGGGCTAGCTCTTCGGCCTGAACTTTTCCGCCAGACACACACATGGCTCACTCGGTCACTGCCTTCAGTCACCCTTCTAGGGAAGTCTAACCTGTCCATGTGACATAAAATGTAACAACCTCACATATATTCCACAGCTGTCCCCAAACTCCCACCTCCTTGCTCTGCTTTGTTTTCCATGGCCACATGAAATAAAACGTATCATGTGTTTATTGTCCATCTACTACAACTAGAATGTAAGTTCCAAAAGAGTAGGAACGTTTCTTACTCAATTGGACATCCAAATGCAGACAGATGAACTAACTTCAACTCATACCTTGCACAAAATATACTAACCCAAAACTGATGCAAATATGCAAAATATGCAAAAATACAAAACTTCTAAGAAAATATAGACTATTATGGATTAAGCAAAGATTCTTTGATTTAACACTAAAAAGTATGGCCCTTAAAAAAAGAAAATTGTTAAGAGTTCATCAAAATTAAAAATTTTGCTCTGTTAAGAGAATAAGATTGCTTGGGACTGATGACTCCTTTTTTCCTTCCACTTTCCCTCCTCTTGAACAGGAATGTATCTAACTGGTATCCCATTCCTGTCCCCTCAATGTATTTTACATAGTACATGACTTGTTCCTTGAGTTTCACAGGTTCACAGACGGATAGAACTGTATCAGGATGTACTATACCCAGAGCCTCACTCATACCTGATTTAGATGAAGAGATTTAGACCTTTTGAGCTGACAAGATTCAAATGAGATTTTGGACTCTGAGTTGATGCTACAATTAGCTAAGCCCTTGGGGGACGTTGGGATGGAGTGAATTGTGTTTTATATGTAGGATGGAAGTCTATCTTTGTGGGACCAGAAGACAAGAATTACTGCACTGTATGATTCCATTTATGTGGCATTCTGGAAAAGGATAACTATATGGACAGAAAAGAGATCAGAGGGGGTCAGGGTCTAAGGTTCAGGAATGAGGTGACTACAGTGAGTGCCAAAGAATCTGGGGAATTCTTGGACTGTTCTACATCCTGACTATGGTGGTAGTTAGACAATTATAAGCACTTGTCAAAATTCAAAACTGGGCACTAAAAAAGATGAATAATATTTGTACCTAATACCTTACTTTAAAAAAAAGTCCTCCAAAAAATTTGTACTTGATCCACTAACTTTACATCTAAGAATCAATTCTAAAAACACATGAAAATGGACAATTTTAAATGCAATTTTATTCATAAAAATAAACTTAGATATGGGGGAATCACATAAATTGTGATGCATTCACATAGTAAAATAATACAGTCATCAAAATGTTTCCCAAAAATGTATTGACAGAAAAATATGGTAAAACCATTCCCACTTTCTGTCCACTTCACCTCCTAGTGTCGGAGATCGGCCAACACTACTCTCAGCGCTTTGGCTTAGGGCCTTCGCCAGCCGCACTGATCTAGAATCCTAAGGGTGCAAGGGACAAATTTGAACTAGCTTAAGCAAAGCAGAAAATTTAAAGATACTGGTTTATTCCCCATAACCACACCATGGGGAACATGGGTGTCACTGGTCCTCAAATGCCAGCTGAATTCTCATTCTCTATTGGTTTAAATGCTTTCATTATAGACCAACTTGTTCTACACAAATGGGAACATGGCTTCCAACAGCTACCCAGCCCAAATCAGTTTCCCAAACCTGAGAAAGCAGACTATTCTTTGTTTCCAGATCCAAAACTCAAAAGAGCTCTAATTTCCTAGGTTGGGTCAGGCGCCAACCCAAAACCAATCAACTATAGTCACAGAGTTGGGAGGAAGTTACAAGGTCACGTAGTACAGGCACTGTTTCCAGAAAAGGGGGAATTTTTGTGATCTAGGCACCCATCCTAAAGCTCTACATTGCACCACCGCTCACCTGGATCAACATGATACTCTCCTAACCTGTGTCTCCTTCCTCCAGTGTTCCCCATTCCAATTGACTTGCCACACTGAAGCAAGATTGATCAAAAATACACTCCCCTTGAAATCTTTGTTAGTTTGCCATAAACCCATGTTTGGTGAACAAACAATGATGGCTTTATTACAAGTAATTCAAAAAACTGAAGCCCTCTAAGCCTTTTAAAGCCATAGTCGAGATTCAATTCTATTAATTCCTATGAAAATCTCTGTGCAGATCAGTAAGGACTCATAAACTCAATCACTGATTATGACGGTGGGCATGCAGATCCTTCACAATCTGGCCCCACTTTCACCAGCATTCCAGCCTCATCTCTTTCTCCCCTCCCTCCCACCCTCTACCCAAACCTGCTTTCTGACTTGCATCCCCATTTCAGCTCCAGCCAGGCTAACCCACCTCCAGTTCCTTGGCTGTCACATGCATTCTTCTTTCCAGGTCTTTCACTTACTGCCCCCTCAGCTTAGAAAGCCCATTCTCCACATACGTGCCTGGAAAGCTTCTACTCACCCTTCAGGATGTGGCTCTAACATCACCCTCTCCTGCAGTCTTCACGGGCTGGCTGTTGACTCTAAGCTCGTCCAGTCCCCTGCTCTGGGTCCACACCCTATGCATACATCTAAACTGAGACTGCTTATACCACACTCAACTTTCCATTTTGCTTATCCTTGTCCACATCTCCCCTAAACTATAAGTTCTTGAGGCAGGATCCACCTTGAACCTATCACAATGCCTACAAAACAAGGTTAAAGAAAGAGAAAAGCAGCCCCTGACTGCCAGGAACTGGCCTAGCTAGACCTTGATGTTCTCATTCAAACATGAACAATTTCACAGAACACCAACATCAGATGTGATCATGACATCAAGACAAAAACAAGACCACTTCAGAATCATATGTGAACACACACAAAAACATGAACATTGTCCAACCTTCAGTTTCAATGTTATCTCTTCAAAAGGGCTATTTTCTTACAGTGCAGCTTAAGGTAGTAGTAGTTAAAAGTATGGACGCTAGGGCAAGACTGCCTTGGTTTGACTCCTAACCTTACTACTTAAGCATTTTATCACCTTGGGCTAGTTTCTTTACCCCAGTGTCTAGGTTTTATCATCTTTAAACAATTACACAGTTACATGCAAAGGAATTAAAAGAGTGCCTAACACACATAGAAACTCAATAATTTTTAGTTATTTTACATAATAGAATATTAACATTTCTTTACTACCTTTTCTTAGTGCCCCTAAACTGGATTATTCCCTACCATAGAATCCTATTCGTTTCCTTCACAGCATTTTTCTAAACTTATGATTTACATATTTATCTGTTTAACAGCTGTCTCTCCTACTACATCCTAGTGGGATATACAAGAGAAATGAGTATATAAATGAGTTTGGTCTTTTATATCAAACACCCAACTCTGAGCACAGTTCCTGGCCCATAGAAGACACTATATTTCTTGGCTGAATAGACATTATTTGAATCTATTGTCCAGAGTATTTTCTGTCTAATGGGAATATAAGGTTCTTCTGCACAATTAGTAAAAAAATTAATATCTTGACACTATCTTTGGAAATGGCAGATAGCCAACAATAAGTCCATAAAAAAATCTTTATGTTGCATTAAGCTCATTTTTAGAATTTGCAAAGATTTAATAGGCTAACGAAATTTTTGGTATATTCAAAATGCTTCCACCTAAAGGCCAAATGGTTAGTAGATGCCCTGTATAACTTTTCTCTCTTTACAAACAAACCATACTAAAACAATAGTGTTTGTAGGATAAATTCTAGCCGAAATAAGCAGGCAACGAGAGGCAACAAAGGGCCAGGCAGGTAATTTGAGCGCAATTCCCGGGCGACGTTCCCCGGTCTGGCTAGTCACAGGCCGGGGAAGTCACACTCAGCAGGGCAGGCAGCGAGTTTTTAAAGAAGACAGGGGGAGGGAGAGCAAAGGTGTACAGTGGCGCGGGGATTGGCTCGCCTAGGGTACGTGGGGGTCTCTCATTGGCCTTTAGCCAGGCACTGGAAAGTTACCACTACTCTTCTAGCTTGGGGGAGGGCTCTAGTTAGGAATGTTGTCCGATCAGACTCTGGAATGTTGTCAGACTGGAACCTGTTGGTCTCTTCGCCTTGTTTGGTGAGGCCTGAGCTTGTCCAGCAGGCTCACCCCTTCCCCTGGAGCCTCCAGCCTTACAGTGGTGACCATATTGCCCAACATTTACTGAGTTTTGTATCCTCCAGATAGGAAACAATAAACTCCCGAATGTGGCTTCTCCCATGGTCCTCTTAATTCCAGCTTCCTCTTCTTCTCTGTGCATCTAAGTTTCTCGCAACACCCGCACGCAGTTCCTAAACCCACCCTCGTGCTGACACCCCCGGGCCTGCGGGCAGTCCTTGCCATTTCCCCAGCCCTTACC